AATGTTAACAGGGCATTGAAGAATCAGTGGCAAACCCAACTCGCAAAGGAGATATGGGATTTGGCGACGCAGCTCGGAGCAGTGGCGGACAACGACAAGGAGGTGATTCAAAGAATAGAGGAGATGGAGGATAGAGATCAAAGAGCAAAGAGGATTATGGTGAACCGAGAGGAAGAAGGCAGCAAGAAGGTATGTGGAGCACCCAATGATAATTATGTCATTTAATGTTAGGGGTCTTGGAGGGGTAGGAAAGAAAGCACAGATTAGGGAATTTATTTGCAAAGAGAAAATCCAATTTTTAGCTATTCAAGAAACCAAGATGGATACAGTTGATAGAAAGATCTGTAGAAATTTATGGGGGTCTGAGGATATGGATTGGGTTGCAAAGTCGTCTATAGGCATGTCTGGAGGCCTGATATGTGTCTGGGATTCCAAAATATTGAAGAAAAAAGAGACTATAGAGGGGGATGATTTTATAGGGGTATTTGGACTGTGGGGAGTGGAGGAGATACCTGTATTCATTGTAAATATTTATTCTCCATGTCAAATGTCAAGAAAAAGAGCCTTGTGGGTGGAGCTGCAAGGTTTAATAAATAACAGAAGGGGGTTGTGGTGTTTAGCTGGGGATTTTAATGCTGTAAGGAGGGTGGAGGAAAGAGCTGGATGTAAGACGGTTTCAAATGAAATGAGGGAGTTTGATGCTTTTATCTTCAACTCGGAGCTGGTTGACTTACCGTTGATAGGGAGAAAATACACTTGGTATAATTCAAATGGGCAACAAATGAGCAGAATTGATAGATTTCTGTTTTCTGAAGAATGGATGGCAAAGTGGAGCAAAATGAAACAGTGGGGTTTGAAGAGATCTGTATCGGATCACTGCCCTAGTATGATAAAAAATGAACAGGTCGACTGGGGACCAAAACCGTTCAGATTTTTTGATTCTTGGTTGGATCAACCGGGATGTAAGGAAGTGATTGCAAGTGCTTGGAATGACAGTGAAGTGAAGGGCTGGAATGGTTTTAAACTGAAAGAAAAACTGAAAAGAACAAAGAAGGCACTGAAGGAGTGGAGTGGCAAAACCAATAGGGAGATGGAAGGAAGAATAAAGGAAGCAGAATTTCTGATCGCTTCAATTGATGAGAAAGGAGAGCAGCACCAGTTGTCAGATATTGATGTAGAACTGAGAAGGAACAGTTTTATTGAATTATGGAAGAATTTAAAAATCAAGGAGAGGATGAGTCAACAAAAATCAAGAGAACAGTGGCTAAAGGAAGGTGATGCGAATACAAAATTCTTCCATAGAAGCATCAAGGGAAGATGGTGCAGAAATGAAATCAATAGTATTCGGATAAACGGGCAGCAGTATACAGGAGTGGAGGTAATGAAGCGAGAGGTTGCTAAGTACTTCCAAGAATTGTTTTCAGAAGAAAAATGGAGGAGACCAAAGCTCGATGGAATTTGCTTTAGGCAAATCTTGCAATCTGATAATGAGTTCCTCACTGCTAACTTCTCAGAACAGGAAATTAAAGAAGCAATATGGAATTGTGATCCTTCTAAATCCCCAGGACCAGATGGATTCAACTTCAGATTCATTATGACAATGTGGGAGGTTGTTAAAGATGATATAATCAACTTTGTACGGGAATTCCATCAACACGGCAAGATGGCCAGGGGGTCAAATGCCTCTTTCATTGTGCTAATTCCAAAGACAGAAAATCCACAAGCAATAGAGGAATTCAGACCCATTTCGCTAATAGGAGTCACTTACAAGATCATGGCAAAGTTATTAGCGAACCGACTACGGAAAGTGCTGCCGAAGGTGATTGGGGAGCAACAGATGGCTTTTATAGAAGGAAGGCAGTTAGTAGAAGGGGCAGTGATTGCAAATGAGATTCTGGACGAAGTTAGGAGGAAAAAGAAGAAGGGATTCCTTTTTAAAGTCGATTTCGAGAAAGCTTACGACAAAGTAAACTGGGAATTCATAGACTACATGATGATGAGAATGGGGTTTTGTGCAACTTGGAGGAAATGGATTCAGGAGTGCTTGAATTCGAGCTCAGTCTCTATTTTAATCAATGGCAGCCCGACGAATCAATTTCCGGTTAATAAAGGTATCCGTCAAGGAGATCCTTTATCTCCTTTCCTATTCTTGATTGTGGCAGAGGGGCTGAACGGATTAATGTCATCGGCAGTGGATACGAAGAGGTATAAAGGAGTGGGCATCGGGAGTGGAGATACAATGGTCACACACCTCCAATTCGCGGATGACACAATCTTCTTTGGGGATGCAACAGAGAACAATATTAGGGTAATCAAATGCATTATGAGAACATTCGAGTTAGCCTCAGGACTGAAGATTAATTTCGGAAAGAGTCAGTTGATTGGTGTGGGAGTTGATCAGAGTTGGAGTGCTAAAATGGCATACCTATTGTGCTGCAAGGAAGGGAAATTGCCATTCAAGTACCTAGGAATCCCTATTGGCGGGAATCATAGAAGAAAAGCCATGTGGCAGCCTATGGTGGAGTCGGTTAGAAAGAAGTTAGCCAGCTGGAAGGGGAGGTATCTATCGATGGGAGGCCGCATCACGCTTATCAATTCAGTGCTGTCAAGCCTACCGGTGTTCTTGATGTCCGTCTTTGTTATCCCAAAAGGTATAATTCATTCCATTGACAAACTTCGAAAAAGCTTTTTATGGGGAGGGAAGGGAGAGGAGAGAAAAATAAATTGGATTAGTTGGGATAGAGTGTGTAAAAAGAAAGAGGAAGGAGGGCTAGGAGTGAGGGATTTGAGAAAATTCAACTTGGCTTTGATGGGAAAATGGTGGGGAAGGCTTG